GCGTTGATGCTTTCGCGTGGATTTTCGTCATCCATTGGCACGTCGACGGAGCAGTAGGGGAGGGGTCCGGCTTCTTCCGAGGCTCCTTCCACGTTCTGCTCGTCCCAGTCAGCTTTGTCGTCTGCCGAGGCGAAGGTTCGGGTGCCAAGAAAACCATCGGAGCGATCGGGGTTTCCTTCTTGCAAGTTGGCGAGGTAATACCGGAGGGTGAGGTTTTCGTAGAAGTTGACATCACGTGCTGCTACTGTTTCCTTTGTCTCGACGTCCAAAATCTTCCGTGCGTTGTAATGTTTTTCGATGCCCAGATGTAGTCCCCACTGTGCGCGTTGGGAGAATCGGCCAGCTCGTGCAGATGGGGGCCGGTACTGTACCATGCAGCCGAAGACTCTCAACATTTTTTTGCTGCCCAGTTTTCCTGTCCACAGCAGATGTGGTGATGCGTTGTTCGGGAGAGATGATGATGAGAGGAAGTTGTGCAGCATGACGGCGTGGTCCATTGCTTCGGGCCACTAGTGGTTGGGCAAGTGCATGCCACGTAGCAGCTTGCGCATGGTGTTCTGGAGGGTCCTGTTCATCCTTTCTGCTACACCCTGCTGTTGATGGGCGTAGGGGAGAGAGATGAGTCGCTTGATTCCTCTCTCTGCCAAGTACTCCTTGAATCTTTGTGAGGTGTATTCTCCCCCTCCGTCTGACTGGAAGCTCTTGAGTTTTACTCCGGATTCTCGTTCTGCTACTGGAAGCCAGGCGACGAAGGCTTCGAAGGCCATGTCGCGGCTTGGGAGATTGAGGTGCTAGACGTATCGAGTGGCTGCGTCGATGAAGGTGATGGTGTAATTGTACGCGTTTTGTCCAGGCTCTCGGTTGTACAGGATGTCGCTGTACACTTTCTCGAGTGGCGCGTAAGCTGGTGCGCTTGGGTTGTGGTGAGGCACGAACGGTTGATGCGGTAGGTCAGCTTCGGGACAGGTGAAGCATGTTCCGCGGGCTCGCTGAAGTTCTCTGCCGTCAGTTAGGAGTAGAGAGTCCTTGTCGAGCATGCCTGCTCTTATTGTGTTATTTAACACCGTGTTGCTTGGGTGACCCATTCTTGCGTGCCAGGTTCCTTCGGTGGCGCGATGTCCGGGTGAGCGTCAGTACATGTCGGAGATGGAGTAGAAACCTGGTGGTGAAGTTGGCGCTTCGGTGGACTTCTCGTAAAGTCAGAGTTAGCTGCTGCGCGGGTGTTGGTGGTGTATCGTCGATGAAGATTGGTGCCGTTGAAGGGCCAGCGATTGGTGCCGTTGTTGCCACTGCTGTTGTTGTCTCTGCTGCTACCGATGTTGTCTCTGCTGCTGCCGGTGTTGTCTTTGCTGCTGCCGATGTTGTCTCTGCTGCTGCCGATGTTGTCTCTGCTGCTGCCGATGTTGTCTCTGCTACTGCTGCTGTTGTCTCTACTGTTGCCGGTGTTGTCTCTGCTGCTGCCGAATGTTGAATTGTCGCTAACGCTCTTGTCCTTTCTGCTTCAGGAATGGTATGTAAATACCAGAAGCCTTCTGGACTAAATTTGGGGTCGAGGTCCGGTGGATGTGTCCAGGAGGTGAAGGTGACGATCCCGTCACTATCTGCGGTGCCAAGATCTGGAACGAAGTCGAGGACGAAGACATTATTTTTCAGGATTGCCTTTCCGATGTAAAGACCTCCTCTCCCGTGGTACAATTTGAATTCTTAGGTGGTGCTGTCTGCTTCAAGGTGTATGCCCTTCGCCATCAGTTGGCTGACGCTCAGTAAGTTGTAACCGAGTCCCTCCGCGAATAATACCTTTGACATTTGCTGTATAACATTTGTCTCCCTTGACTGAAGTTGAACCACGCCTTGTCGTCGTATGCGTAGGTTCTGATTGTTGGCGACGGTTATGACGACTTTGCGTTGAAGTTGGTGCTCGCGCTGAACGAAACGTCCCGAAGAGCACATGTGCTGCCCGCAGCAACTGTCCAAGAACCAAGGGTCCTTCCCGGACGGCTCACTTTGGGCGATGGCCGCGTACGTCGGGTTCGGTTGGAGTGACTCGCAGCGAGGCATGGTGTTGTCAAGTTGCTCTTCTGGTGAGTAGTGCGGTGGTGACTCGGTGATGCATGAGTCGGTCAGTTTTGCCATGCAGCTGACGATGTTTCTTGCTCCTTGTGCAGATTGTGTTGTTGAAGGCTGCGACTGACTCGTGGGGTTCGCCTGCGTCGATGCCACTTGGCTGCTTGAGGGTCGAAGCTGTCGTTGGGGTGGAGTTGGCTATTGTCGATTCGGGCAGTGTGTGCGTGGGTGTCCTGACGTCTTGCAGATGTGGCAGAACGGAGGTACAGGCCTTGGTTGTTGTCGGTTGTTGTTGTTGTTGTAGCGTCGCTGGGTGTGGAAAGCGAATTCCGGTACTGATGTCTTCCTCTTGTGCCTTTCTTCTTGCAGGTCCATGTCTTGTTGCTTGGCATGAATTTCAGAGCAAAGTGCTACTTCGGAGATTCTTCCGTGAGCTCGGAGAATGGCTTTCGTGGCGCGTCATTGAGGACCGAGTTCGCCAATGATGACTGTCACGAAGGCGTCTTCAGATATCGACCCTCCGCATCGAAGGAGTTTGTCGCGCAATTCGCGACAGCGGCTGATATACGCCATCCCCTTTTCCCCTGGTTTCATTTTGACTGTTGTCAGCTGTCCCATTAGTCGACTCTGACTTACGCTGTCTGTTGCTTGGTACACGCCTTTCAAGTGGCTGTATGCGAGCTCGGCGAAGTTGCCGTATCCCCGGTACGACCGTATATTCTGTTGCTGAGTCGGGGTGATATTCCTTAGTAGGATTGTGTACGCCATCATTGACTGATAGGTGTACTGCTGCTTCTCGTACTGTGTGCCGTTTGTTGGGTATGGCAGGGATCCGTCGAAGAAGCCGAGGATTTGCGCGCCTTCCATCATCAGCTCGAACTCGAATGACCAAGTAAAGAAGTCCTTTCCGTCGAAAGGTCTTGATGTATGCAGCTTCAGAACGTGCGCGAACTGCGACTGAACTTGTAGCGCGTCCAGTGTCTTCTCTTGTTCAGGTACAGGCTGCGGTTGTGGCATAAAACTGACGGAACCGTGCTGGGGCTCGTATGGAGCAAAGGTAGGTTGCTGCTGTTGATTTCCACGTGCGTAGGATGAACCATCAAGGCTCATTGGAGTCACGTCGTTGTTGTTGTTGCTGTTGTGTGACTGCGCAGGTGCCGATTGCTAGTGTTGCTCGTAGAAGGACATGAAGGAGAAAAACTTCTCCATCATGCTCTGGTCGAAGCCTGCAGGTTGATTCGCGGGAGTCTCGGTGGATGTTGCCCTTGGTCTTGTTGCCGTACCCTCCTCTGTCTGTAGGCCAGAGGCAGGAGGTGGAGTAGGAGTAGTGCTGGGAGAACCAATAGAGGAACTCCTTTCCTTCTGAGTAGCCATGTCTTCTGATGTTGTAGGTGTTTTGAAAGTTGAATTCCCCGTGATAGCTCTCATACCATGTTGGGCTGAGAAATAGCCCTTAGGATCTTTGCAGGGGTGAACTCTGGGTATAGTAGCGGAAGCGTTTAATGAAGAGTTGTGAACCACCTTGCGCTAGTATGTGAGGGCAAAGTTGATTGATTAAAACAAGGAGATACAAGATTATATATGAATACAGGGAATATGAAAAGACACAGTTATAACTACTTTACTGTTGCTGTTGCGGTTCAATACAGTGATGACTCGGGCAACTGCTCTGTAACGAGTCAGTTGTGTGTCCTTGCTGTCGCGTTGTACTTGTCAGGTCAAAGGTCGCTGACCTTTGACTTTCGCGTAACCTCCGACAGTTACTTCAACCTCCGAGGGTTGACTCGCTCATGCTTCGATAATGTTTTGCTTCGCTTGTGTCTTGGTGTTTCGACACGACAGAGGCGCTTAGCTTAATTGTTTCCAACAGGGTGCAGGTTCGGGGTTGGAAAAACCGAAGGCGATGCGGTGGTGGCTCGGAAGGCGAGGTCGGCGGGCCGAGCCTGGGTTTCCGAAAACCGGGGTTGTACGCGTACAGTGTGACCCAATAAGGAATCGGAAAATTTCCTTACATGTGGGAAGAATGACGCAATTGATATATAATTTGAACAATCGTGGGGAGAATGATGTGTGGAGTGGCGGATGTACATTGCTGTCCGCGGTATGCAAGATGACGCGAGGTTGTGCCTGACCACAACATATGCGACACGTGCCCTCACGGACGATTGGTTGCAGATTTACAAGGTGAAACAACGAATTTGACTGGCCACAAGATGTGTCGGCTGGGGGACGGGGGACTTAGGGAAACCTTTCGATCGATACAGTCATGATCCTAGATAGTCACATTTACGCGTCGCGTGCTTGCAAATGCCAAGCCAACCGAAATTGCTGGACCAAGGCGCCCCTTGGTTGATCACGATTGCAGAGAGCGACTCGTTGAAATGCGGCTGCTTCTCACCTACAGATGACGAGCAGCTCGGAGTAGAGCAGCCATGAGATGAGATGACGGAACGGAAGCCAGAAAGATACTAGGGCAACGCACCAGGATCATGGTTTTGGTGCATGAATGAGAACCAGCTATTTATTTCTTGGTAAATGTTTCCTCGTATCAGGCCTGACGTCTGATAATCTGATGACTATTTATAGCTTTCGTGACTTTGCAATATGTTGAACAGTGGTCGCAGAAAGTCATGCATTCCTTCTACGCTAGAGGTACTCGACGCTTCATGGTCGACTTAGTGATAGATTATTATCCGCAACGCTCCTCACCACTATCGCTTACCCTGAATCGCATTAGCCACAACGCGTTCCTGAGTTTTTTCTCCGTAAGTGCGCGTGGCTGGCAGTGAGTCGGTCCCGCCGCTCCCATCACGTTGGGGTGCGTCGCTGGCGGTGTCTGGTGTTACCGAGGCACACCCTTCCGCATGGCGGAATGCGGACGCACCCATGGCGGCCGCGCGCTCTCCTGGATCGGCGCAACCACTCCCCGCTCTCACATGCGCCTCCGCCAGCTCGCCCTCATCCCCCTCGTGCTCCTCGCCCTCCACAGCGCGCACTGCCTGCCGCACTCCCCACCTGCCGCGCCACTCGCCCGCCTGGTGGAAGAGACGGAGCACCACGCGCATATGCAGGGCCCGCAATGGCTGGACTCCGCGCTGTTGGGGTGGCTGGGGGATCTCACGAATAGTAGCTGGCCGCGCGCACCGGAGAAGGGTGAAGGTGCGGGTCTATTGGATCCCTCGGGCAGGCGGAAGGCTGGCGGCGCGCGGCGGTGGCTGAAGCGGCAGGCGGTGAAGCCGAACCTGGTGCTGGCGCAGGACGGCACGGGCGACGTCACCACGCTGCGAGTAGGCCGCGCGCTCCCCTGCGCTCTCATTACATGCTACCTTGGCCCGGCCTCCCTGCCGTGCGTCTGTTCTGAGTGATGCCGTCCGTTACTAACGGATGGTATAGTATGCAGTCACTTCGCACCTCATCGCTCTCGCCCCACTTCCTTCCGTCGCAGTCTCACCCACTCCATTCGCCTCTCTTCTTCCGTCCCCCCTCCTTCCCACCACATCCCCACACCCACCTAATCCGCCCTCCTTTCCCCATCCGTTACCCGCTCCACCTGCTTCCCCCCATTATCCCCGGATCCCGTTCGCCCGCTCCGTTTCATCGCGGCGAGTGTGCAGAGAGCGGCGGAGATAATCAACAACATGCCGCCGTCGCAGGGGTGGTTCGTGGTGCACATCCGCGCGGGCGTGTACGCCGATAAAGTCGACATCGCGCGCCCCATGGTCGCGCTCGTAGGCGACGGGCCCACTCGCACTGTCATTACTGGCTCGCGTAGTAACGCGGACGGGTTAACGACATGGGACACGGCCACCTTCTGTATGCCCGTCTCCCGCTGCCCCGCACTTTCCCCGCCACCCCTTGCTCTCGTGCCCCACGTGCTGGCCCCACGTCATCTCGTCACACCACGCCAATCGCGCACACACCGCTTTCGTGGCCACTCACCCTTGTCCTTTCTCTCCTCGTTCTTCAGCTCTCCTTGTAGTCCCATCTTTCCCGCCCCTCGCTGCCCAGCCGCACCGATCCCACTCCAACTCTCGCTCTCCTCTGTTGTCCCCCCCCCAGCGTCGTCGGGCGCCAGCTTCGCGGCGGCGAACATCCGGTTCGAGAACACGGCGGGGCCGTACAAGGAGGCGGGCGTCGCGTTCCGTGCGGCGGGCGACATGGCCCTGCTCTACCGCTGCCACTTCTCTGCCTTCCAGGTGCCCTGTTCTGTCTCCAACGCCGCCCTCACCCACGCTGCCCATTCACCTGCTGCCCGCACACGGCCTCTTCGCTTGTAACGCCCAACTGCACGGCATTTGTGTGCTGCCAGCCCAATTTCCCCGTTTCCACCCTCCCGCCTCTCCCTACCTTCCCGCGGACCACCGCGCGCGCGCAGGACACGCTGAACGCGCACAGCGGGCGGCAGTACTACCGCGAGTGCCGCGTGGACGGCGCACTCGACTTCATCTTCGGGCGCGACGCGTCCGCCGTGTTCGACAAGTGCCGCATCGACGTGCGCAAGTGGACGGGCGTGGCGGGCTTCCTGGGGCGCAGCATTATCACGGCCAACGGGCGCACGGCGCGCAAGGGCGGCGGCGGGTTCGTGTTCGTGGACTGCGCCATCAACGCGCACGACCCCGGCGCCAGGGCCGTGCTGGGGCGGCCGTGGAAAGCGTACGCGCGCGTGGTGTTCATCAACACGTACATGAGCAATGTGAGCCAACCGCCGCGGCGCTGCCAGGTATCCGCGTTCCATGCTGCTCTCTCTCCCTTCCCTTGTCAACCCTGTCACGGCCCCCGCATCTCGCCTCCCGCCCCCCTGCCCCCAGGTGATAGACCCGGTGGGATGGGCGCAGTGGAATGGCGTGAATTTCCGCGCCAAGCCGTTTCTGGCGGAGACAGGCAGCTATGGGCCGGGCGCGCGCAGGGCGTACGCGGACTGGGTGCACCCAGGCAAGCTGGCCGCGCGGCACACAGTGCCGTTCCTGCCGGACCCATTCATTCAGGCACACACGTGGGTGCGCAGCACGCCACTGCACGTGCCATACCCCTGACCAGCTACTGTTCTGGCGCACATGAAATGCAGCAACGCCCCTCTGAGGTGGGTTACAGCATCAAGAGCTGTGTGGTGCAGGGAGCATGCGGGCACGCCAACAGTCTGGCTTCCTGGCTCGTTGGCTGGGCGTGATGCACAGATATATACGTATACTGGCCTGGGTGCTTCTGGAGGAGGGTTCTGGTGCTGGCCAAGATGGTGGACTGCAGATGCTGGAAGCCACCTTACCGGCACGGTATTATGGATTAGGCTAGGTGCCTCTTCCTGGCCATACGTACTCCTATGTACTATACTATACACTTAATTTTCTGTAGATTATGCTGCCTACTGCTTTGCACCAGTCATTTTGTTGATATTCGTTTCAGAGACTGGCATGCCAACAACACTCAGACGACATTCAGTATTAAGGGATGTGTTTGACACACAATTGCTCAAGTCAGGCACATGCCACAGCGTCATTTTCGGCACAGCTGCAGTTTTCTGGAGTGCAAAGTGTGAGTTGATGGCATGGCGGGACAGGGCAGAGGCGCATGGGTGGGTTATGAGTGCAGCCATTCATGCTGCAGCACCTGCTCTGCTGTTGGCCTCGCTTCCACCCGCACTTGCAGCAGCATCTTTAGCAGCCGACGAGCACTCCGAGAGATGCCCATTCGACCTCTGCTGCCACCACCATCACTGCTACTGCTACCGCTACCTCCACTTGTGCTACTGAACCCACCCCCCTGCATTCCATGGCTTGACGGCGAGCTCTCGAGATGCCCTTCTTTCATCACCCGCTTGTGTGAAATGTCCACGCAGCCCTTGTCCTCGTTCCAGCTGGGGTACACGCCCAGCAGCAGTGCGTGCAGCACGATGCCAGCAGACCACACGTCTGCCTTGTGGTTGTACTGCGCCCCCAGAGCCACCTCCGGAGCCATGTAGTGCGGCGACCCAGTCACGTCCGGCCCCATCCACTGCCCTGCCTGCAGTTGCGCTGCCAGCCCAAAGTCAGTGATCTTCACCGTGTCCTCCGCCCTGTACTCCCACATGCTTGCTGCCGCTGCCGCCTCACCTATCTCCAGCCCGGCCGTGGCAGAGGGCCCCACGAGCAGCACGTTCTCCAGTTTGATGTCACGGTGTATGATGCCGCGCGCATGGATGTCCGCCAGGCCCTGCATGATGCCGCGGAACATGGCCTTTGCGCTCGCCTCGTCCACGCCCCCGCCCGCCTCCACCACGGAGAAGAGGTCGCAGCGGCCCAGCTCCAGCAGCAGGTGCACGCGCTTGGGCTCCTCGTACACACCGCGCAGCGACACCACGTTGGGCACGTGGGCCAGCGCAGTGAGCAGGTTGATCTCCTGCTGCAGCACGGGGATGCGCCGCTCCGTCTTGCGCAGTGTCTTGCACGCCAGCCACTCCCCTGACGTCCTGTGCTGGCATTTGAACACCTTGCCCCACCGCCCCTCGCCCACGCACCCCCCCACATCAAATATGTCCAGAAAGCGCACGATCCTCACGTTGCCATCGCTGCTCGCACTGCACGCCCCCAGCACTGCCTGCGCCTCCCTCTGCCACTCCTGATCCCCTGCTGGATCCCCCTGGCTACCGCCCATGGTGTTTCGGCTGCCAGCGGGCCTTGACTTGCGGTGCAGTGGCAGTTCAACCTCACTCGAGTCATGAGCACTCCCAACGCCCGGTTCCAGCTCAAGGGTGCTCACTGCCCTCGTGCACTGCACTGCCTCGCCCTGCCTCACACGCCCAGCAGCGTCCGCTGCCTGCACCGAGCACAGACCAGCGCTGCTGCCGCCATGTGTGTGGCCACGGGAGCTTGCCTCCACCTCCACCTGCACCCTCTCGTCTGTGAAGCACGCACGCTCCGATACCTCCTTCCCCACCTGCACGCCGCAACACTCACTCCCAGCATGTCCCTGTGGTGCAGCTTCCACCCCCTCCGTTTGACCCTCGCCCGTGCTGCCACTCTCAGCGTACAGCAGCAGCTTCTCCAGCGCTTCCGCCTCGTCCCCACTGCGCACGCCCAGCCCCTCGCTGTCCGCCAGGTCACTCCAGCAGATGCCGTCGCTCACCTCGCCATCGCTTGCCTGCTCGCACACAGGCGACGAGCCCCCCAAGCCCTGCGACCCACTGTCACCTTCACTCGCTCTGCCTGTCGTTCCTTCCCACCCACGATCGCCAGAATCGCCCACTGCCATCTCTCCTTCCCCTCCAATCTCAACTTGACTCTCACTCAGGCCAACATATGTGTGTCCTTTCCGTACGTCATTCCTTATGTTCTGGTCCTCCTCACTGTCATCGTCTTCCTCTTCCAAATCACCTTCCTCCTCTTCTTCGTCTTCCTCCTCTTCCTCCTCTTCCTCTTCTTCCTCTTCCTCTTCTTCCACTTCCTCCTCCTCCTGCTCCTCCTTACATACCCGCCTTCCCTCTGCTCCCTCGTCCTCCGCGTCACTGTCCCACGGCCCTGCGTCTTCGTCCCAGCCCCACCAGCTCCACAAGGGGTTGAAGCACCGCACTGTCTCCCGGCCCCACCCGGGCAGCGCCTTCTCCACCAGCTCGAACTCCACGTCTTCGATTAGCGCATCGCCACCGTATAAATCCGCATCGTCATCGGCCTCCAGATAGAAGCGCGAGGATCTGCCTCCGAAACAGGAGCTGTGGCGCGCGGAGCGAGGCAGCAGAGCGGTGGGGTCGCAAGCAGGGAAGTCCACAGCGGAGGCGGCGATAGCAGCAGTGACATCGGCGTGGCTGCCGAACCTCTTGGTGCTCCTCCTTCCCGTCAGCATGCCCAGCCTCGGGCCCTCATCCTCGTGGAGCTTGCATTCTTCTCGCACGCCTTCCCCACCCACTTTAGGAGATATGAGGTCAGCATCCCAGCTCGTCCCCGCCTTGAGAGTGTGTCGTCCTATGGCGGTCGTGGGCGGCGGCCTGCCGCGGCCCTCTAGCTTGGTGAGTTCGGCCAGGAACTCGCGCTCCTGGCGCTCCTTGGCTGACTCCGTGGAGTTGTCCACCGTGCTCTGCGTCGACGCCGCACAGCTGCTCGCGTCACCACCAGGCGCGTGATCACCATCGCACTCATCAGCGACCCCTGTTCTCCACCGCGATGCGTGGATGCCACACATGCCTCCTATTCGGCTCCACCGCACCCCTCGGCTGCTCAGGCCCAAACAGCTAGGCTGCGTGGCTTTAGTCCCTTCTCCTAGCGGAGCCCGAGGCATGCAAAGGCATGCGATGTTGTTGGCAGTTACGCCGGGCGTTCCAGGGTCTGTTACCATGAAGCTGTCCAGTGAGCAACCTCGTCGCAAGGGTTGTTTGGTGCCGACGACACTTGGCCATGAGTCAGCAGTCCACGCCGGGCACTGCCCGTCCTGCATGCGCTCCTGTGGCGCTACCCGTGATCTTGAGCCAAACCACGCCTTCTGCAGTGAAGCACAAAATTCGTGTGAGAGCAAAATATTTAAGGACGTTTGCATATTCGGAACGATGACGACACCACTTACTTGACGCGGCGCCGCCGGCGGCTGTTTCCTCGCCCTGTTGAATAGTGACTTCAGCTTGATAGGATATGGCTTTTTGAGTAGTCTCGGAAATGCAAGAGCGCGGACTTTGCTTATCGCAGCCGAATTCTTAAAGCTGCGTCCGGCAAAGCGCTGCCTAATTCCCCGCCAAGCCAGCACCGCCGACGTCCTGCTCGTTGCAAGAAAGCTCTTCCCAGCTTTCTGCAAAGGGGTTCGAATTATCCTCGTGACGGCGGAAACCAGAATCGAAACCGCGGTGAATACCCATTTCACAGCAGTTTTTAGCCTCCGACGCGGTCCTACGAGCCCCATCGCTTGCTTATGCCTAGGAGTATTCATACAAGGTCTAGCATCATGTTCTCCACGCCATCTCCAAGCATAATAGTAATAAATGTCACTCTCACTCGCATCCATTTCACCGTAGATTGTACTGTCTGAACAGGGGAAACCCCTCTGTTTCCTACAAAAGCTTCCACTCAATCTTGAGCCAAGAGGATGCAGAAGCAAAGCCGGGAAGCGAAGTGACTGGAGTGCAGGGTGGAGCCAATCTCGAGGTGGAGTGTGTGTGAGTCAGAGTGAGCATGCCAGGCTCACCACTAGAGCAGCTTGATGTGGAGCCGAAGCGGGGCTTACCCAAGAGGGCTTCAGAACATCCCGACTTTCCCGTGCTTGTTCGGCTCCGCGAATGGCGTGGCATTGATATTGTGTGCACCGCCAAAATGCTAATGTCGTGAGTCAATAATCCAAATAGACGGGTGTCATGCTCCACCTGCGTGTTCCAGATTAGTAGAATAAGAGCCTTGATACACAAATATCCAAATCTGGCACCAGTGACTTAGTAGAAATGTGTGCGGATTTATGCCTAACCATACGACACCTCATGATAAAGAAGTTGTTTGTTTTTGTAATCGATTTGGCATGTCCTGCAAAAATAAATAAACAGTCTTAATGATTAAAGAGCTAAAATTTCAATCTCAATGCAATTTAACATGCCTTTTATAACAGAAGCTGTTTCTTTTTTTGCTCTATTTTATTTGGAGCTATTTTGTATAGATACCTGTGGAAGTATCTTATACACAATCAGTTAGCCTCACGTTGTGGATAAACGTGATTACACGAGAAAGAAGAGATTTGCGTGACATTGTAGAACTGTCACTGTTGCTGATCATGCATGCATGTTTTGAATTTCCTCCACAGCGTGGGGCTTGTGTTCACTCACAATCCAATCAGCAAAGGCCTACTCGCCTAATTCGCCGCATCTGTGATGTTTCTATCGCCAATGCACATAGCCAGTGCATCACCCACTTCAGAATAAGCTCTTCTCCCCGTCCCAAGCCTCGCCGCTTGCGCCATCCTTCCTCCAGCAGCACCGGCATCCGTCCTTCCCCATGACCGTATCTTCCCCTCTGCCCGCCCCGCATAGGCGCGCAGCTGTGCTGCTTCCGCGCCCCTCCATCCGTGCCTCAGGAATTCGCTCGCTTGCCTTGGGCTCGCAGCTGCTGCAGCCCGTTGCGGCGGTGTGTGCGACCAGGCGTGGGCTGCTGTCGTCTTTTCTACCAGTGCACCTCGCCTCGCCTGCCTCTCAGGTGCATGCCACCCTCCACTCCCCCTCTCTCCCCCTCATCCTCGTTTCCCTGACCCTGCCTCCCTTCCTCCTTCCGCTCCTCATCCCTCTCCAAGTTAATTGCTTCGCGCCCCGGGGGCTCATTCGCCCTGTTCGGTCCGCTTAATTCACAGCCCGCATGCGGCGCGCAGCCGGCCGTGTCATGTGTATGTATTAACGGCGTCTTTCGCTCTTCTGAATCCCCTGCTCCCCGCGCTCCCCGCCTCCGTTTGTTCCTCAATCAGCGCGTGCGCGTTGCGCCAGTCCCCGTCGCGGCGTCTCCCGCGATGACAGCCGCCATGGCCTCCGCGGAGGCCGCCAAGCGGCCGTTCGTGGGCGACCTGGGAGTGCGCAGCGGGTTCGTGGACGCGGTGAGAGGGGCTGGGGGAATGGTGGAGCTGCGCGCATGGCGTGCGTAGTGACGGGGTGTGGGCGTGGCAGCGAGGGAGGTTTTGAGTGTGGGTGGTGTGGGGATGCAACATTGCGTTAGTGTGAAGGCGTCAGTGTGCATGCACGATCCCATTCCTGATCCTCCCATGTCGTGGCTGCAGGCTCGTCTGCCATGATGCCAGTGTTCACCTGCTCGCTCTCTTGCTCACGGCTGTCTCCCTTGCTCCACGTGACATGATGTGTGTGTGTGCACACCTCACGCTGTGGCCCCTGGTGGCAGGTGGGCAACACTCCCCTCATCCGCCTGAACCGCGCATCACAAGAGACCGGCTGCGAGATCTACGGCAAGGTGCGCCCTTGCAAACCGCACGCTGGCAGGGATGGGGCAGGCTGGCAGTGATGGGGCAGGCTGGCAGGGATGGTGCTTAGCCTTGTGCAACCTCCTCACTGCGCGCCTCACTTGCTTCAACCTCCACTGCCCTTCCCCCAATCCTCCCGCCCCCCCTGCCCCTTGCCTTCCCCATCCCACGCGTTGTGTTCATCCACGCTTGAATGCACGTGGCATGTGGCGTGTGGCGTGCGGATGGGACGAGCAGGCGGAGTTTCTGAATCCGGGAGGGTCAGTGAAGGACCGGGCAGCACTGTACATTATCAAGGTGAGCGCATGGCTGTGGGTAGGCCATGCCGCCCATGCTTCATGCCTCCTCTTGCTTGCGCTGCCGCTCAATCTCTCACATCTCCTGATCCACTACCCAGTACCCTGTTCCCCACTTGACATCATGCCGCCATCCTGCCGTGTTGCCCCCCCAAGGCGGCAGAGGCGAGTGGCGAGTTGAGGGAGGGCGGAGTGATCGTGGAGGGCACGGCGGGCAACACGGGCATCGGGCTGGCACTGGTGGCCAACGCACGCGGGTACAAGACAGTCATTGTCATTCCAGAGACACAGAGCCAGGTGCGCACACACTCACACGTGCACATGTGCAGCAATGCCATGTTCCTTCTTCTGTCCTTGCCCTTACTCATTAATGGTTTGTGTGTGTGTGTGTGTGTGTGTGTGTGTGTGTGTGTGCGCGCGCATGTGTCTGTGCGCATGTGTGTGTGGGTGTATGTGTGTGTGTGTGTGTGCATGTGTGTGAGCACTGTGCAAGGAGCAGGAGAAGAAGGACATGCTGCGCATTGCAGGAGCCACGCTGGTAGAGGTGTGTGTCACCATGCATCTCCCCATGCTCCACCTCCCTCCATCGCCACTCGTCCGACCAAACTATCGCCTCTCGCAACCACAACCCCTCTCTCGTTTCTCCGCCCTCCGTCTTCACCTGTCCACTGCTATTTCCTGTGCGCTGCCATGCCTCTCTGCGTGCATGGCGTGCGTGCATGCATGGGGTGGGCGTGCAGGTGCCAGCAGTGCCGTACAAGAACCCCAACAACTACGTCAAGTACTCGGGCAGGCTCGCTCAAGCCATTGCCAAGGTGCCCTCCCGCTCCCACACACCTCCTAAACCACGTGTCTTTGCTTCTCTGCCCTTGCATCCCACCGTTGTCGCAGTGCGCACCGTGCCTTGCACCATTAGCTCCCTCCCTCCCAACTTGCTCTCACCCTCTTTTTCACCTGTTTCCCCTGTTCCGTGCACCCTGCCCTCTGCGCCCTGCCCTCTGCCGGTCGTCGGTGCTGCAGACCCATCCAGGCGGTGCCATATGGGGCAACCAGGTGAGCGCTATCAGTGGGCGAAGGAGGTTGAGGGGAAGCACGTGATGTGTGCGGTTGCGTGGGTGGGTTGTCTGCTCACTGCATGCCCTGCTGTGTCAGTGGCCACCTCTCACCTCTGTTGCTATGCACCATGCCACCGTTCCCCTCTTCTCTCCTTTGTCCATGTTCCAGCCCCTGTATTGTAACATGGTTTCGTTTTCTACATTCTTAAATCCCCACATTTCCCCTGTCTTACTCGTTCGCATGCTCTTGTATCCCCCTCCCATCCCATGTGCCGCCCTTCAGTTTGACAACACAGCCAATCGCCAGGCCCACTATGAGACAACGGGTGAGTGACATCAAGTCTCTCCCAGGCCCCTGTGTGCGCTTGTGCCTCCATCCCCTGCGCCCTCCTCACGAGCACTCCCTCCCTCTTGTGTGCGTGTGGCGCTGTGAGTGTGTGGCGCTGTGTGCGTGTGGCACTGTGAGTGTGTGGCGCTGTGAGTGTGTGGCGCTGTGAGTGTGTGGCGCTGTGAGTGTGTGGCGCTGTGAGTGTGTGGCGCTGTGAGTGTGTGGCGCTGTGAGTGTGTGGCGCTGTGAGTGTGTGGCGCTGTGAGTGTGTGGCGCTGTGAGTGTGTGGCGCTGTGAGTGTGTGGCGCTGTGAGTGTGTGGCGCTGTGAGTGTGTGGCGCTGTGAGTGTGTGGCGCTGTGAGTGTGTGGCGCTGTGAGTGCGTGGCGCTGTGAGTGCGTGGCGCTGTGAGTGTGTGGCGCTGTGAGTGCGTGGCGCTGTGAGTGCGTGGCGCTGTGAGTGCGTGGCGCTGTGAGTGCGTGGCGCTGTGAGTGCGTGGCGCTGTGAGTGCGTGGCGCTGTGAGTGCGTGGCGCTGTGAGTGCGTGGCGCTGTGAGTGCGTGGCGCTGTGAGTGTGTGGCGCTGTGAGTGCGTGGCGCTGTGAGTGCGTGGCGCTGTGAGTGCGTGGCGCTGTGCGTGCGTGGCGCTGTGAGTGCGTGGCGCTGTGAGTGCGTGGCGCTGTGAGTGTGTGGCGCTGTGAGTGTGTGGCGCTGTGAGTGCGTGGCGCTGTGAGTGCGTGGCGCTGTGAGTGCGTGGCGCTGTGAGTGCGTGGCGCTGTGAGTGTGTGGCGCTGTGAGTGTGTGGCGCTGTGAGTGCGTGGCGCTGTGAGTGCGTGGCGCTGTGAGTGCGTGGCGCTGTGAGTGCGTGGCGCTGTGAGTGTGTGGCGCTGTGAGTGCGTGGCGCTGTGAGTGTGTGGCGCTGTGAGTGTGTGGCGCTGTGAGTGCGTGGCGCTGTGCGTGCGTGGCGCTGTGAGTGCGTGGCGCTGTGAGTGCGTGGCGCTGTGAGTGCGTGGCGCTGTGAGTGCGTGGCGCTGTGAGTGCGTGGCGCTGTGAGTGCGTGGCGCTGTGAGTGCGTGGCGCTGTGAGTGTGTGGCGCTGTGAGTGCGTGGCGCTGTGAGTGTGTGGCGCTGTGAGTGCGTGGCGCTGTGAGTGCGTGGCGCTGTGAGTGCGTGGCGCTGTGAGTGCGTGGCGCTGTGAGTGCGTGGCGCTGTGAGTGCGTGGCGCTGTGAGTGTGTGGCGCTGTGAGTGCGTGGCGCTGTGAGTGTGTGGCGCTGTGAGTGCGTGGCGCTGTGAGTGTGTGGCGCTGTGAGTGCGTGGCGCTGTGAGTGCGTGGCGCTGTGAGTGCGTGGCGCTGTGAGTGCGTGGCGCTGTGAGTGCGTGGCGCTGTGAGTGCGTGGCGCTGTGAGTGCGTGGCGCTGTGAGTGTGTGGCGCTGTGAGTGTGTGGCGCTGTGAGTGTGTGGCGCTGTGAGTGTGTGGCGCTGTGAGTGCGTGGCGCTGTGAGTGCGTGGCGCTGTGAGTGCGTGGCGCTGTGAGTGCGTGGCGCTGTGAGTGCGTGGCGCTGTGAGTGCGTGGTGCTGTGAGTGCGTGGCGCTGTGAGTGCGTGGCGCTGTGAGTGCGTGGCGCTGTGAGTGCGTGGCGTTGTGAGTGCGTGGCGCTGTGAGTGCGTGGCGCTGTGAGTGCGTGGCGCTGTGAGTGCGTGGCGCTGTGAGTGCAGGGCCGGAGATCTGGGCGCAGACGGAGGGGCGAGTGGACGCATTCATCTGCGCCATTGGCACGGGCGGCACCCTCGCTGGCACCGGCAAGGTGGGCCGTGCGCTTTAAGGGAGGGTGGCAGGAGGACCAGAGTGGGAGGATGGCCGAGACAGGGTGCAGGGGCGTGAAAGAACTGTGAGGAGAGAGGGATGGCAATGGTGGATGCGTGAGTCGATCCGTTTCTGTGGCGCGGGAAGCATTTGAAAGACACGCAGCAATGTTGGCATGATCGACGACCCTGAGCCCTGTCGCCCTGCACCCTTGCTCGTCCTCGTGTCTGTTGCACCTCACACTCTCTCAAGCCCATTCTGCTCTTACCCCCAACATTTCTGCCTGCCCCCACCCCCCTTTCCCTCCCCCCCCCCCCCCCCCGCCCCCCCCCCCCCCCTTGGTGGGCGCAGTACCTGAAGGAGCGCAAGGCGGGTGTGCGGGTGGGCATGGTGGACCCCATGGGCGCTGCCATGTTCAGCTACTACAGCACCGGCACTCTCGAGGCCCACGGCTCTTCCGTGAGACGCCGCCTTGGGAATGGGCGCAGGGGGATGACTGGGGAAGGGGGATGAGGGGGGAAGGGTAATGTTGGGAAAAGGTTAAAACTGGGGAAGGCGGGGAGAGGGCGAACCAGGAAGGGTGGATGGGTTGGGTGGACTATAATGCCTGGGGCTGGAGTGGTAGCTGCGCCCTTTCCACCACTGTGCTCAGCAGTCCCCACCTCTGCCGTCACCACTGGCCCCTGCTGCCGCTGTGTGCCGTGCATGGTGTGCAGATATCAGAGGGCATAGGGCAGGGGCGCATCACAGGCAACCTGCAGGGGTGGGGGCTGCCCGAGAGGGAAGGAGGATGCGTTGACTTCTGCTGTCAGGTAACTGCCCCCCTCTCCCGCACCCACACTCTCTCTCGCCTCTCTCTTCACTCCCAGCGGTGCTCGCTGCTGCCGCACCCCATGTGTACCCTGCGTGCCACAGCACCTGTCCCTGCTGCTGCCTCCCCCCCCGTGTGCAACAGGTGGAGGATGCGGAGGCGCTGCCAGTGGTGTATGACCTGCTGCGCTACGAGGGGCTGTGTGTGGGGCTGTCATCGGGCATCAACGTGGCGGGCGCCATGCGCCTGGCGCGCGCCATGGGGCCGGGCCACACCATCGTGACGGTGCTGTGTGACGTGGGCACGCGCTACCAGGGCCGACTCTTCAACCCGCCCTTCCTCACCGCCAAGGGACTGCCCCTCCCCGCCTGGATGGACAGCGGCTCTGAACCTGCTGTGGCCGTGCCTCAGGTGTTCCAAGAGGTGGAGGCGTGACGTGCACATATGGTGTGGTAGGGAGAGCAGCAGGGCAGGGAGAGCAGGGACAGAAAAAGCTGGGAGGGGTGGTGCGGTGCAGAGGGGAGTGATGAATGGAGGGAGGGAAGAGTGGAGTTGGGAGTCAGTAGAAGAGTGCTGCTAAGTGGCATGCAGATGTATCCACACCATGCTGCCTTTGGCCCCGTTGTTGCACATTAGAGCGTGTTCCTACGGACCCCTATCAGGCTAACCCCTTGTCAGGCTGGTGCATGCGAGCGATTTCGTTATTAACACCGTTTTCCAGACTTGAAAATTTACAATGCTGTTGGATGAATCGGTCGTGCGAAATCTTTGACACGTGCTGTTCAGTGACCCTTGTCAGCCAATCGCGCGAAATCTTTCGAAGGTGCTGTTTCAGCGAGCCATGACAGTGAATCGTGCGAAATTCTTCACACATGCTGTTTTGTCGGGTATGAAACTTTCAAAGACTTTTCCGCCAAACACACGTTTCAATCGCCTGGAATACGGTCAGGGCCTCAGATATCAGGATAAAAGATCCTGAATGCCCTGATTTCAGGATCTGCATGGTGCCCCAGGACTGACATTTCAGTATTTGTATAAAAACCGGCCTGACAAATCAGTATTTATAGGATTTTGCATCCTGTGATCTCAGGATTTAAAAGTACCCCGGACCCTGATCCATCAGGATCCTATTGGAAAGTACCTTGAATCAGCCTGTACCGCGAAAAAAAATCTGGCGACTATATACGGTACAAAACTACCGACAGGGGTACAGCGCAACATTCGAGATGTGCGGTGGGAAATGATGAAATTTGCACCGCTGTACAGACTTTTTCGCGCGTGGCTGTACAGCGACACATCAAAGTTGCCATCTCGACCAATCAGGACCCGCCGCAGCAAAGAACCCACGCGGCACGCGGCAACTTTGCCACGCGTAGCTTAAACTTAACCATGCGCTACCTCCCTGGCCATCAAAGGCGAGTACATGCTCTCGGCCAACCTCGTCCACACCTCAGGTCACGACGGGGCGCCATGGCGCATGACCGTGGAACTCTCCAGAAGGAGGGTTTCCGTTCCATCTCCTCCTCTTCTCGGCAGCAGTTCCTCCACCTCTTGCTTCATCCCTTTGTTGATGCAGGGCGAAACGTGATAGAATCATTCTTGTTAGTGTTTTTTCGCCCGCATTTTGCAACCTCCTCGACATCGTATCTCACACGTTGTTTCCGAAGCTGAAATCGCCTATGGCTTCACCGTCGCCACAGGGCGTCGGTGAAGCCCCCGTCATGCCTGACAAACCCGTAATTATTCAGCCCTTAACGGGCCTCGATTTCCTTCGTTTTGCGCCAGTCGTTCCCTCGCCAATAGTACCCTCGACAGCCCTTCCAACGCCAGCGGAACCGTCGCCGTCAGTACCATCGCCAACAGAACCTCTGCCAGCGGCTCCTTTGCCACCAATACCTCCGCCATCGGCTCCGTCGCCAGCAGACCCTTCGCCTGCAGTTCCGTCAGGTCCAGTCACTGAGGTTGTCGTCGACAACTCGGACCTCCCACCGCCGATTCGAACACGGGCCGAATGCTCGCGTGCAGCCGTGCAAGGGTCTGTCCGTGTGGGACCCCCTTCCAAGAAGCTTGCAAATCCACGCTTCCACCAGACCAAGATCTCCTTCGAGCGCACATCCATGGCACCACCCAGGCAAGATCAAACCCAACCCACCGAGGCTACACGGACCGTTCTCTTATCAACCAGCCCCTCTGCTTCAGCCGACACAGTGTTTCCCGACATCGCTGAGAATCTTTACCAGGAAGCGCTTTTCAATTTCAAGAAGTCCTGGACTACTGATTTTCCTTGGCTTGTAATTTGCCAGACGTCTTACGGGTTTCCTTCTATGAAGTGTACCATCTGTATGGAGTATGGTGGCGCAGGGACGAATTTCGCGAGGGGTGAAGGGGCTACAGATGTGCAGACACAAGCCATGCGGCTTCACCAGCGGTCCGGGAAGCAGAAGGATGCGCTTCACAATCAGGAGTTAGCTCTGGCGAAGGTCAAGAGCCAACAGCGAATCGAGGATCTCCCTCAAGCACGGGATCTAGAGCACGAGCAAGTGCGGGCTCTGTTCGAGACGCTCTTCTTCATCGCCAAGAATGATGCACCAATCGAGATGTGGGTGCAGCTTGTTCGGCATCTGGCTAGCCGTGGCACTCCGGGCTTCCCCAAAAGTGGCTACGGCTCGTACTATACCACGTAAGAGTGGGTTTTACTGCTCTTATTTTTGGTGATTCTTGTGTTGTGTTTCCGTATAACCTCAACCTTGTGTTGTCCTTCCTTGCAGGTACGGATTCCAGGAGCTTGTCGTAGCATCGGCGACCTACCTCCACGGCCAACAGCGCGAGTACATCGACGCAAGCCCGTTTATCGGGTTGAGCTGCGATGAGAGCACCGATCGTGTGCACGGGAAACACATGATTGTGTTTGTGACTTTTTTGCGAGATGGCTTGGTTGTCACGGAGTTTCTAACTCTACCTACTGTTGACAAGGGTGATGCAGGGTCCCTCTTTGCTGTCCTCACCGCGTACTTGGAGAGCGTCAACATCGAGCTGAGCAAGATCGCGGGAATCAGCACCGATGGCGCCATGGTGATGATCGGCGGGAGTACTGGTCTTGCCGCGCGGCTTCGCCTAACCGTTCCCCATCTCGTGTCAACTCACTGCATCGCACATCGGTATATCGTTTACCTCTGAATGTTGTTATTGCATATTATATTTTGCATTCGCTAATTCCTGCGTGACATGCCTGTGAAACAAGTGAACAGGAATGTGTGGACTATGAATGAAGGCAGTACAAATATGAAACCCTAACTGGGTTGTACCCCCTATGGGATACCCCACTACAGCCTACACAATAGTATAGGCTAAAGATATGTTCTGACACACCCCCATAGGCAAATTGGGGGAGAACAAGGGGTCACAAGACCAGTCAAGCAGAGCAAAGCAAAGCAAGCTCGGGGTGGATCACAAAGTCACCACACAGTCCGAGCACAAGAGCAGGGCCAGAGGCCAGTTCACATGCAGGAGTACAGACATATATATATATGAAACTAGACAAGCAAGAGCAGGTATATATATATGTCACAGTACAAGTAACGTCAAGAGGAGAGCAAGTGAGGCAAGACAGGCACAAGACCCAGCTGGGTGCAGAAGCGCTGATGGTCACAAGGCGCGAGTGCCTTGGTGAACACATCAGCAGTGTTGGCCTCAGAGGCCACGTACGCAAGCCGCAACTGTCCACGCTGCTGTAGCTCACGAGCAAGGAAGTAGCGAAGAGCAATGTGCTTCGTTCTGTGCTCCAGACGCTGCTCTCGACACAAGGCCAGCATGGCCTTGTTGTCTACGTACAGCACTGGAGGAGAACGAGGCGGCTCTCCAAGGTCAGTCAGCAGGTAGGTGAGCCAGCGAAGCTCCTGTGCAGCCATGGCCCCGGCGTAGATCTCAGCCTCACAACTGGAGTTGAGAACCGAAGACGAACGAGTAGCCCGCCACGAGACAGAGCCGGAACCAAGACTGAAGGTGTAACCCTGTGACGACCGCTGCGTAGCCTGGTCGTCAGCCCAAGAAGCGTCTGCGTGCCCTGTAAGGACCACTGGACTCCGCCCTCCAAGCACTAGCCCCATGCCTGACGTACTGCACAGGTAGCGCAATACCCTCTTCGCTGCAGCCATGTGCTCTGGTCGGTGTCTCCCAGGAGCAACATAGCGTGCAAGAATGCTCAGAGGGTATGCAAGGTCAGGCCGTGTGCAGGTCATCAGGTACATGAGGCAGCCAACAAGCTCTGGGTACGGGCCACTCGACTCTACGGACTCATCCGAAGGCAGAGCTGAGAGCGAGTGGCGAGTAGACAGAGGAGTGGCCTGAGGCGAGGAGTACGTGAAGCCGAAGCGCTGAAGGACCTGCTGCACCATGTGTGACTGAGTCAAGGTAATGGTGCGGCGTGCTCTGTCCCGAGTGATCTGCAAGCCAAGGTAGCTGCGCAGTTCACCCAAGTCTGTGCACGTGTGTCTCTTCACCAGCTCGGACTTCACGTAGGCGAGTCCAGCAGTGTCCGCTGTGGCAAAGACCAAGTCGTCGACGTACACGAGGATGTAGAACGGCGGCAGAGAAGTGTCGGTGCGCAGAAACAGAGACGGGTCAGCAGTAGAAGGAGCAAACCCAAGAGCCGCAAGCGTAGTCCTCAGTGTGTCGTGCCACTCACGCGGTGCCTGGCGGAGACCGTAGACTGGCCGTCGGAGGCTCAGGAGGAGAAGGCAAAGGGGCACGCAGAGGAGCAGTGGACGGACGCAGAGACATCCGGTGCGTGCCAGGGACAGGAGGAGGACGCTGACGCGAACCGCGACCACTAGTGCGACGCAGGACGAGACGCAGGCTCACGACGCTCAGCAAGACCTCCAGTAGGACCAGTGTAAGGAGAGGGAGCAGGCAGTGGAGAGGAAGGCTCCAACAGTGACTGTGACTGGACAGGCTGTGAACACTCTACCGGAGGAGAAAGACCAAGAACCTGCTGCAGGAGCGGAACGAAGTACGGTCGAGGCCGCGCGGCAGCTCCAGACTCAGCAGGGACAGCACCAGCACCCTCAGCGACAGCACCAGCGCCACCAACACCTCCAGCGGCAGGACCTCCAGCAGTACCAGTAGCAGAACCACCGCCGGGACAGACAGCAGTAGTCTCAGCACCAACACCCTCAGGAGCTCCTGCTCCAGGAGTACCCGCAGGCCCAGCAGTTCCGGGACCGGCAGCACCAGCACCCTCGACGGTCGAAGAAGCTCCAGCTCCAGCAGCACGCCTCCAGCGGCGAGCAAACCACTCGCGCAGCTCCTGTGGAGAGAGGGGCTCCCGGTGAGACGCAGCAGCAGGAGAAACCCCAGGCTCAGCAGCTCCAGACATAGCACCCCCAGGCTCAGCAGCGCCAGACTCAGTACCCTCAGGCTCAGCAGCTCCCGACCCA